ACCAGGACGACTGATCCGTGTAAAGGAAAGAATGAATGGGGCCATGTATCGTGAGATTTTGAGTGAAAACCTCCTTCCATCAGCAAGGGCATTGAAGATGAAACGTGGCTGGGTCTTTCAGCATGACAATGATCCCAAACACACCGCCCGGGCAACGAAGGAGTGGCTTCGTAAGAAGCATTTCAAGGTCCTGGAGTGGCCTAGCCAGTCTCCAGATCTCAACCCCATAGAAAATATTTGGAGGGAGTTGAAAGTCTCTGTTGCCCAGCGACAGCCCCAAAACATCACTGCTCTAGAGGAGATCTGCATGGAGGAATGGGCCAAAATACCAGCAACAGTGTGTGAAAACCTTGTGAAGACTTACAGAAAACGTTTGACCTGTGTCATTGCCAACAAAGGGTATATAACAAAGTATTGAGAAACTTTTGTTATTGACCAAATACTTATTTTCCACCATAATTTGCAAATACATTTATTAAAAATCGTACAATGTGATTTTCTGGAAAAAAAATTCTAATTTTGTCTGTCATAGTTGATGTGTACCTATGATGAAAATTACAGGCCTCTCTCATCTTTTCAAGTGGGAGAACTTGCACAATTGGTGGCTGACTAAATACTTTTTCCCCCCACTGTATTTACCTTTCCATGGTAGAAAGATCTTATCTATTTTTGCTAACTTTCTATTAAAATGTATTGAAGTGAGATCATTTATTTCCTTTGGGATGTGTATTCAGAGTATATCCACATCACCATCAGACCATTTTATTGGTAAACTACATGGTAATGTAAAAATTGTATTTGTTTTTGTGATCCAATACGTAATATAGTACATTTGTCATAATTTGGTTGTAATCCAGAGAGGTTAGAAAATGTATCTAGATCCTCTATGAGGCTGTGGAGGGATTCTAGTTGTGGATTTAAAAGAAAACATGAATCATCAGCGTACAATGACACTTTTGTTTTTAAGCCCTGGATTTCTAATCCCCTGATATTATTGTTGGATCTGATTTTAATAGCTAACATCTCGATGGCCACAATAAATAGATATGCCGATAGTGGACAACCTTGTTTCACTCCTCTTGACAGTTTAAAACTTTCTGAGAAATAGCCATTTTTTACAATTTTACTCCTAGGGTTACTATACATGACTTTGACCCATTTTATAAGAGATTCTCCAAAATTGAAATGCTCCAGGCATTTATATATAAACCCGAGTCGTACTTTATCAAATCCCTTTTCGAAGTCTGCAATGAATAGCAGGCCTGGTTTCCCAGACGTTCCATAGTGTTCTATTGTTTCCAATACTTGCCTTGTATTATTTTACATTTACATTTTAGTCATTTAGCAGACTATTATCTTCAATGTATCTTCCATGTAAAAAACCTGCCTGATTAGAATGAATAATATCCAACAATATAGTGGGGGGAAAAAGTATTTAGTCAGCCACCAATTGTGCAAGTTCTCCCACTTGAAAAGATGAGAGAGGCCTGTAATTTTCATCATAGGTACACATCAACTATGACAGACAAAATTAGAATTTTTTTTCCAGAAAATCACATTGTACGATTTTTAATAAATGTATTTGCAAATTATGGTGGAAAATAAGTATTTGGTCAATAACAAAAGTTTCTCAATACTTTGTTATATACCCTTTGTTGGCAATGACACAGGTCAAACGTTTTCTGTAAGTCTTCACAAGGTTTTCACACACTGTTGCTGGTATTTTGGCCCATTCCTCCATGCAGATCTCCTCTAGAGCAGTGATGTTTTGGGGCTGTCGCTGGGCAACAAGGACTTTCAACTCCCTCCAAAGATTTTCTATGGGGTTGAGATCTGGAGACTGGCTAGGCCACTCCAGGACCTTGAAATGCTTCTTACGAAGCCACTCCTTCGTTGCCCGGGCGGTGTGTTTGGGATCATTGTCATGCTGAAAGACCCAGCCACGTTTCATCTTCAATGCCCTTGCTGATGGAAAGAGGTTTTCACTCAAAATCTCACGATACATGGCCCCATTCATTCTTTCCTTTACACGGATCAGTTGTCCTGGTCCCTTTGCAGAAAAACTGCCCCAAAGCATGATGTTTCCACCCACATGCTTCACAGTAGGTATGGTGTTCTTTGGATGCAACTCAGCATTCTTTGTCCTCCAAACACGACGAGTTGAGTTTTTACCAAAAAGTTCTATTTTGGTTTCATCTGACCATATGACATTCTCTCAATCCTCTTCTGGATCATCCAAATGCACTCTAGCAAACTTCAGACGGGCCTGGACATGTACTGGCTTAAGCAGGGGGACACGTCTGGCACTGCAGGATTTGAGTCCCTGGCGGCGTAGTGTGTTACTGATGGTAGGCTTTGTTACTTTGGTCCCAGCTCTCTGCAGGTCATTCACTAGGTCCCCCCGTGTGGTTCTGGGATTTTTGCTCACCGTTCTTGTGATCATTTTGACCCCACGGGGTGAGATCTTGCGTGGAGCCCCAGATCGAGAGGGAGATTATCAGTTGATTTCTTCAAACCAATCTGCTTACCTATTGCAGATTCAGTCTACCCAGCCTGGTGCAGGTCTACAATTTTGTTTCTGGTGTCCTTTGACAGCTCTTTGGTCTTGGCCATAGTGGAGTTTGGAGTGTGACTGTTTGAGGTTGTGGACAGGTGTCTTTTATACTGATAACAAGTTCAAACAGGTGCCATTAATACAGGTAACGAGTGGAGGACAGAGGAGCCTCTTAAAGAAGTTGTTACAGGTCTGTGAGAGCCAGAAATCTTGCTTGTTTGTAGGTGACCAAATACTTATTTTCCACCATAATTTGCAAATAAATTCATAAAAAATCCTACAATGTGATTTTCTGGATTTTCTTTTCTCAATTTGTCTGTCATAGTTGACGTGTACCTATGATGAAAATTACAGGCCTCTCTCATCTTTTTAAGTGGGAGAACATGCACAATTGGTGGCTGACTAAATACTTTTTTTCACCACTGTAGCTGTACCGTGATATTTGCATTGCTACTAAGTAACCCTTCAATTGTTCTCCACTAATTCTCCCGCTAAAGCCCCTCCCCATCCCAAGTTGAGCCGTCATCCCAGTGATTGGCATCCCACCCACGTCCCTCCGGATCCCTAGGGCCCGAGAGGCCAGGACCCATCCATCGACAACAGGACACAGTGCCACCCACAAAACAGAAGCAGATTAACCGCCAAAAGCATTTCCAATGCTGTCACCTCTATATACTGTATATAACTATTTAAAAATATATATCTATTCAAATATCCTGCATATCTTATTTTCCATCATTATCAATTAATATGTGTGACAATGTCGGCAGTTAATGCGCAGGATCTCAACATACAACCCGGATTGCCATTGTATTACATTTAATTTATTGACAAGCAATTATTATCCTAGCAAATAATTACCGCGGTCCATCCCATACCCCCCCCCCCCCCCCCCCCCAACATCCTCACCCCCCCCACAACAGATGCGGGACAAACACACATGCACATACTCACATACACCAACACACTCAACCCCCTTCCTCCACAATCAACCATAACATCAGATGCTCAACAGTTGTTACATCCCAGAGCCCAACTCAAGAAAGGACCTGAATACGTTTGAGCCAATCTGTTGTGTTGTGACAAGGTAGGGGGGGTATACAGACGATATCCCTATTTGGTAAAAGACCAAGTCCATATTATGGCAAGAACAGCTCAAATAAGCAAAGAGAAACGACAGTCCATCATTACTTTAAGATATGAAGGTCAGTCAATACGGAACATTTTAAGAACTTTGAAAGTTCTTCAAGTGCAGTCTCAACAGACACATCTCAACATCAACTGTTCAGAGGAGACTGTGTGAATCAGGCCTTCATGGTCGAATTGCTGCAAAGAAACCACTACTAAAAGACACCAATAATAAGAAGAGACTTGCTTGGGCCAAGAAACTCGAGCAATGGACATTAGACCGGTGGAAATGTGTCCTTTGGTCTGGAGTCCAAATTTGAGATTTTTGGTTCCAACCGCCGTGTCTTTGTGACACGCGGTGTGGGTGAACGGATGATCTCCGCATGTGTATTTCCCACCGTAAAGCATGGAAGAGGAGGTGTTATGGTGTGGGGGTGCTTTGTTGGTGACACTGTCTGTGATTTATTTAGAATTCAAGGCACACTTAACCAGCAAGGCTACCACAGCATTTTGCAGCAATACGCCATACCATCCGGTTTGAGCTTAGTGGGACTATCATTTGTTTTTCAACAGGACAATGACCCAACACACCTCCAGGCTGTGTAAGGGCTATTTAACCAATAAGTAGAGTGATGGAGTGCTGCATCAGATGACCTGGCCTCCACAATCCCCCGACCTCAACCAAATTGATATGGTTTGGGATGAGTCGGACCGCAGAGTGAAGGAAAAGCAGCCAACAAGTGCTCAGCATATGTGGGAACTCTTTCAAGACTGATGGAAAAGCATTCCAGGTGAAGCTGGTTTAAAGAATGTCAAGAGTGTGCAAAGCTGTCATCAAGGCAAAGGGTGGCTATTTGAAGAATCTCAAATATAACATATATTTTGATTTGTTTAACACTTGTTTGGTTACTACATGATTCTATATGTGTTATGTCATAGTTTTGATGTTTTCACTATTATTATACAATGTAGAAAATAGTAAAAATAAAGAAAAACCCTTGAATGAGTAGGTGTTCTAAAACTTTTGACCAGTAGTGTACATGGCCATTAAGGCCAGATTGTTTTACAATATGTTCAAACGTTCATAAACGACCAGCAGGGTCAGATAACTATGATGTCTATAGAGGGTGCAACACTTCAAGATTCTAAAATTAGACAGCTTTTCATAGTCAGGGATTCAAAGTTTCAAAGTATTATTACATATTTCTTCTTAGAAGAAATATATCTACAAATGTTTAACTTTCATGATAATTTCTGGCCAATCCATAGCCACCAACTTTCAAAATAAATAAAATACTCTTAAGTAGCAGAGGAAGATCAACCTTTATTTATTGCAACTGCTTGCATACAAAATATATTGCACTATAACCAAACAATGTCAACATAAAGCCCAATCTGTCCCGCTAATATGTACAAAGAAAATATTACCCAAAGTGCAGTAACATACAAGGTCCATCTACCCAGTTGGTTCACTATCTACAGTATTTCTGGTTTCAGTTCTGCTTTCAAACCACAACACCCTACAATGTGTGCAAGAATAAATGTTTTACCATTTTATTTTTCTTGACTCTTCTACGTTCCGAAAATAAATACCTAGAAAACAATCTGTTTGGCAACACTGTGACTTGTCCTTGCCAACAGAGTAGACTGTGAGCTGAGCTGCAACACCTTGTCAGTTTACTGTCTGTGTCAGATAGATGCGTCATTAAAATACTGAGTAAACCATTTATGCCCCGGGCAGGGTTAGATAAACTCCGAGATGGATGGTGCCATTCTGAAGAGACCATGGCCCACATTGCTCAGGCGGTTCATCACAATCTGATCAAACATCTCTTCAAGTCTGCACCGTTAAACTGGGCTAAACCCACAATAACTGTCTGTTTTAAAAAGCTTTTTTACTTATCCCACCACTCCGCTATTAGTACAAAATATTAAATTAATGTCCATGTAATTTCATCATCATACTTATCTAATTTATATAAAATCCCAAAGACTGAGTCAGACTGGGTCCAGTTCAATTGTTGACTGTTAACGCTGGGGAGAGCAGTGGCTGTTAGCCTGCTGAAAGACAATTTTTTTAATTGGACATTGGCAAAGAACAGCGACACAAGTGATGCTCAGACAGCTGTTCACTGATGCCCATTAGCTGTACATCATCCAATGTTGCAAGAGTAAACAAGAAAACAAGGACAATTATTAAAACAAGACACTAGGAATACCCTCACAGTAGTTTTTTTCCCCTCAACTGTAAACTAAAGTTTTAATGCACAAGCACTGATCCGATATAAGACATATGGTTATAACATGGGACTAAACTTCATCCTCCATTCAGCAAAGGTACAGTAGACTCAGAGTTAGCTATAGGGTTATCTAAACTTGGTAATATTTTTGACAGCATTCATGTGATTCACCTGCTGAAGAAATCTTATCACATAATTTATTATGGTTCATATTATTTAGTTGCAGATAAACCAAAAATAATGATAAGTGCACATTTGAAGTTCAGTCCAAAACAATAGCAAAAAACTATTTTAAACAAATGAGATAATATACAGTATGCAACCCCCTTATTTTTATAATTTACAATCTAATGACCAATTGTCAATATCTTATGAACAATATATTAGTGTTCGAGAGATGTGTTTGTGCCAGTCTTTCCATTGACACTTTGAAATGAAAAACCAACAGGAAAGTGATTGTTGGTCAATGTATGATGAAAGGACCATGTGCTCAATATCGCTTCCCAGTTTGACATACAGTGAGGGAAAAAAGTATCTGATACCCTGCTGATTTTGTACGTTTGCCCACTGACAAAGAAATGATCAGTCTATAATTTTAATGGTAGGTTTATTTGAACAGTGAGAGACAGAATACCAACAAAAATCCAGAAAAACACATGTCAAAAATGTTATACATTCATTTGCATTTTAATGAGGGAAATAAGTATTTGACCCCCTCTCAATCAGAAAGATTTCTGGCTCCCAGGTGTCTTTTATACAGGTAACGAGCTGAGATTAGGAGCACACTCTTAAAGGGAGTGCTCCTAATCTCAGTTTGTTACCTGTATAAAACACACCTGTCCACAGAAGCAATCAATCAATCACATTCCAAACTCTCCACCATGGCCAAGACCAAAGAGCACTCCAAGGATGTCAGGTACAATATTGTAGACCTACACAAGGCTGGAATGGGCTACAAGACCATCGCTAGCAGCTTGGTGAGAAGGTGACAACAGTTGGTGCGATTATTCGCAAATGGAAGAAACACAAAATCAGTGTCAATCTCCCTCAGCCTGGGGCTCCATGCAAGACCTCACCTTGTGGAGTTGCAATGATCATGAGAATGGTGAGGAATCAGTCCAGAACTATACGGGAGGATCTTGTCAATGATCTCAAGGCAGCTGGGACCATAGTCACCAAGAAAACAATTGGTAACACACTACGCCGTGAAGGACTGAAATCCTGCAGCGCCCGCAAGGTCCCCCTGCTCAAGAAAGCACATATACAGGCCCGTCTGAAGTTTGCCAATGAACATCTGAATGATTCAGAGGAGAACTGGGTGAAAGCGTTGTGGTCAGATTAGACCAAAAATGGAGCTCTTTGGCATCAACTCAACTCGCCGTGTTTGGAGGAGGAATGCTGCCTATGACCCCAAGAACACCATCCCCACCATCAAACTTGGAGGTGGAAACATTATGCTTTGCGGGTGTTTTTCTGCTAAGGGGACAGGACAACTTCACCGCTTCAAAGGGACGATGGACGGGGCCATGTACCGTCAAATCTTGGGTGAGAACCTCCTTCCCTCAGCCAGGGCATTGAAAATGGGTCGTGGATGGGTATTCCAGCATGACAATGACCCAAAACACACGGCCAAGGCAACAAAGGAGTGGCTCAAGAAGAAGCACATTAAGGTCCTGGAGTGGCCTAGCCAGTCTCCAGACCTTAATCCCATAGAAAATCTGTGGAGGGAGCTGAAGGTTCGAGTTGCCAAACGTCAGGCTCGAAACCTTAATGACTTGGAGAAGATCTGCAAAGAGGAGTGAGACAAAATCCCTCCTGAGATGTGTGCAAACCTGGTGGCCAACTACAAGAAACGTCTGACCTCTGTGATTGCCAACAAGGGTTTTGCCACCAAGTACAAAGTCATGTTTTGCAGAGGGGTCAAATACTTATTTCTCTCATTAAAATGCAAATCAATTTATAACATTTTTGACATGCGTTTTTCTGGATTTTTTTATTCTGTCTCTCACTGTTCAAATAAACTTACCATTAAAATTATAGACTGATCATGTCTTTGTCAGTGGGCAAACGTACAAAATCAGCAGGGGATCAAATACTTTTTTTCCCCCTCACTGTAGTTCATGTTAAAAGGTCCATATATAAGTGCTTCTGTCATAAGGTACTGTACAGTGTTGACAATATGGAGTCATATCTGAATCTAATGATCTCCATTAAATGTAGCCATAGTGTGAAATGACATGAATCTGTTGAGACTTGAATCAAAATTCACAAATAAACCCCCAGCATCTTTCTCCACTGCGATTCTATGGTAAGATAGATATTGAGTTCATGGTCATTTCACCCTTTAAAAAAGAGAAATGCTTTATCACTGGCTAGAAAAAGTCAATCAGCATCCCTATTCAAGCAATATTCAGCACAAGGAAACGACGCTTTAGAAAACTCAGATTACTGACTTTCGCCGATGTCGAAACCTATGATAAAGATGTAGCCTACATGCATTGCAAGGTTAAAAAAACAAATGTTTCATTTTTTTGGAAGGTGAGCTGTGTGTTCACTACATATGCGTAAAATCCATTACTGTTTTCCAATGTCGTCTTCTTCCCTGATTGACTTCTATTTGTAATACTATCCACACGAGATAAAGGCACAGATCAGAGAGGAGGGTTATTCTTTTTTTTTTTTTTTGCTAATGATGCAGCCATGACCTCACATGGTAATGAGTTCTATATTCCATTGTGACACAGGGCTCCATAAACACATCATGACAGAGAGAGGGCAGGAAGGACCAAACAATCCAACCCTCTATCCGGAGAAAACGCTAGTACATGAACAAGTGATAGAAAACCATATCCTTTTAGAAATACAGATTCATCATGGTGGCCCCTCTTTTTGTTTTAAACATTTTCTCCCCACAGCTTTTAATAGTCTGATAGGTAGTTGTCAACAATGTCAATTAGAAAAATACAGTCTCAGTTTGCCTTCTCCCGTTAACACCTAAAACCGTAGATGGCTCCTTCCCTGTACACAGTAACCCGCCCAACACCCCATCCACCTGCCGCTGATGCTGCCAGAGTTGGTTTGTCCAAAGTGTGCTTAATTTTAGCCCTGACCTGTCCTCTTTGGCCTAACGTGTCTCTAATGAAGAAGCTTCTGGATTGATGGCGTGGTGTGTGTGAGAGAGACGTGTGTGAGAGAGACGAGGGTGCCTTCCGTCGGCCCCGTCTACGACACCCCGTTCACCACCATCGGGGGCCCGGCAGTGGCTAAGCCACTAGGGCCCTCCTGCTTCTCCTTCTTGATAGATCGCTCTTTGATGGGTCTCTGTCGGTTTGCTCCGGGGCCAGTTCCGTCACCTGCGGGGCCCGGGGGACCTCTGGCTGCAGCATGCACACTCCTCTCATTGTTACCGTCCACTCGGATCTGTGGGACCAGAGGATACTGTATGAGAAGGTAGATTGGGGAGATGCAGGACAACTGAGTAGCGTCAGTTACAGGTGAATTAGAGTTTGGAACAGTCTGCCCGCCCGCCAGATGCATTTCTATTCGATAGTGTCGGCCAACGTGCTATCGCTTTATGTTTGCACATGCCACAGGTGACCATTAAATCAGCACTGTTATAAATTGTGTCAGTTGTGTGGTGAAAAACTCAGATGTCGGAGCTCAAACTGTTGTTCCCATGTCTCTCCAATTTAAATTAAGCTTAAAAAAGGGCATGTAGCAGCTATTTATCAATGCCAGAAATGCATATAATAGTAACTTAGAGCACCCCAAGAAAACATTCCCAAATTACAAACTTCTAAATACATTTGTATAATAATGTAATACTGTCCTAAAAGTTGGGTATGAGGTTCTCCATATCAGCTCTAACTTCGGAAACAATCACACAACGCCTCGCGGTCAGCTACACAGTGAGGAAATAAAAATCCATGCTCACCCTTCATCTACTTGTGGGTAAAATAACAAAACAAAATAAAACTTGTGGGTTAGTAGTATGGAGCTAGCTAGCAATTGCATTTTTATTCATCAAGATGGCCAAGCTTTGTGTGGTAGCAGGATCTGATAGCAGATCTGGGGTCATTTTGGAGAAGTCCCGGAGACAGGCTTTCTTTGGAGTGGTGGATTGTGGATTTTGTTCAATGGGAAAGTAATTTTTTTTATCTTAGTATAAAATGTTGTCACCGTTGCTTCTTGTTGAAGAGGCATCAGCTAACGTTAGCTTGCTATAGCCAGCTATTCTCTTTCTCCGTTTCTGAATGAATTTGTGGCTGTTTCTTTCTAACTGGATTTGTTTGTGTACTGCCGTTTGTCGATAAAATAGCAAAGTTTGTATCTGTTATGGGCTAGTAAATATCCTAAAGCTAGCCAGCTAGACAGTGAGAGCCGCAAGCTAAGACTGGGGAGAGTTGGAGGAGAGAATTCACTTTCTGTTTTATCTGCTGCTGGCTTGATAATATTCCCTCAAATACATTTATGTAATTGATGAAATTCGATTTTTATTCTATAAAGATTGTAATTGTGTCAATATGTTGTGAATATTGTAGAACAATCTCAGCCGTTTCCATACAAAAACATGAAGTACAACTTGGTGTGTACCAGCTTACCATGTACAGTAGGCTACAGTAGACTCACCATGCGAGTCATCAAGATTACCATCTTGCATTCAGGCCTTTCCGGCAGTCTTCGTGGTTTTTATATGCAGGGAGCATACATTGTACAATAGTTCATATGCAGCACTAACTACATAAATATCTGATAGGGTCCATTATCTGCTACCTGTTAAGCCTCTGTCAAAGGTCAATGACTAAGTTGCAAAATGGCTCATTTTATCACCAAATGACAAAATCAAGTTCATACAAATGTATGATTATCTACATTTCCCATCAGAGGTCTTGAAACAGTACATGGTGACATCTAGTGGTAGTGTTATGACACAGCAACAGTTATTGAAATATCTGAGGCTGCTGCCAGGAATTCCTCACCTGCAAAGAATCTTCCTGAGGCCTCAGCTTAGGGTCTCTGGTATTCCGTGAGCGTGACTCAGTCCACTGGATGTCTTCAGCTACAGAGACAGACAAGGTAATATACAGCATCTCAAATGTTTTTATGGCAGAATGATTGTATCATTACTCTGACTCATACAGCAGTACATAAAACACTAACGCAACGAATGCATTTATGTAAAGACAGTGAAACTGGGCCCTTGCACAGCAGGGGTATTATAGTAAGAATAGATAGGCTAGTTCGAATAAGAAGAGTAGACCTTTGAAGCCTCCCCCTCTTCCTCTCCCTCCCCGTCCGCGAGGCCCTCCTCCTCCTCTCTTGCGTGTATCGGGTCTTTTGGGGAAGCCCCCGGTCAGCTCATCAGTGGGAGCCAGAGACCAGTCACTCAGCTCGTCCTTGTGATCCGACTCTGTCTCAGACGCATTGGAAGCCTCAGAGTTGGTGCCTGGTGAGACCGATAATTAGTTATCCTGCAAATAATCACCAACTCACCGAGTTCCACTCAGTCCCTTATAGCCCTAGTATTGTGAAAAGAATAAGGAAATGAGGCTGAACTGTTTAACTACAGTAAGATGAGCCATATGTTGAGTATGAACATACAGTAAAACAAACTCAGCAAAAAAAGAAACATCCCCTTTTCAGGACCCTGTCCTTCAAAGACAATTTGTAAAAATACAAATAACTTCACAGTTCTTCATTGTAAAGGGTTTAAACACTGTTTCCCATGCTTGTTCAATGAACCATAAACAATTAAATGAACATGCACCTGTGGAACGGTCGTTAAGACACTAACAGCTTACAGACGGTAGGCAATTAAGGTCACAGTTATGAAAACTTAGGACACTAAAGAGGCCTTTCTACTGACTCTGAAAAACACCAAAAGAAAGATGCCCAGGGTCCCTGCTCATCTGCGTGAACGTGCCTTAGGCATGCTGCAAGGAGGCATGAGGACTGCAGATGTAGCCAGGGCAATAAATTGCAATGTCCGTACTCAGATGCCTAAGACAGTGCTACAGGGAGACAGGACGGACAGCTGATCGTCCTCGCAGTGGCAGACCACGTGTAACAACACCTGCATAGGATCGGTACATCCAAACATCACACCTGCAGGACAGGTACAGGATGGCAACAACAACTGCCCGAGTTACACCAGGAACGCACAATCCCTCCATCAGTGCTCAGACTGTCCGCAATAGGCTGAGAGAGCTGGACTGAGGGCTTGTAGGCCTGTTGTAAGGCAGGTCCTCACCAGACATCACCGGCAACAACTATGGGCACAAACACACCATCGCTGGACCAGACAGGACTGGCAAAAAGTGCTCTTCACTGATGAGTCACAGTTTTGTCTCACCAGGGGTGAAGGTCGGATTCGTGTTTAGCGTCGAAGGAATGAGCGTTACACCGAGGCCTGTACTCTGGAGCGGGATCGATTTGGAGGTGGAGGGTCCGTCATGGTCTGGGGCAGTGTGTCACAGCATCATCGGACTGAGCTTGTTGTCATTGCAGGCAATCTCAATGCTGTGCGTTACAGGGAAGACATCCTCCTCCCTCATGTGGTACCCTTCCTGCAGGCTCATCCTGATATGACCCTGCAGCATGACAATGCCACCAGCCATACTGCTCGTTCTGTGAGTGATTTCCTGCAAGACAGGAATGTCAGTGTTCTGCCATGGCCAGCAAAGAGCCCGGATCTCAATCCCATTGAGCACGTCTGGGACCTGTTGGATCGGAGGGTGAGGGCTAGGGCCATTCCCCCCAGAAATGTCAGGGAACTTGCAGGTGCCTTGGTGGAAGAGTGGGGTAACATCTCACAGCAAGAATTGGCTAATCTGGTCCATGAGGAGGAGATGCACTGCAGTACATAATGTCCACACCAGATACTGACTGTTACTTTTGATTTTGACCCCCCCCCCCCCTTTGTTCAGGGACACATTATTCCATTTCTGTTAGTCACATGTCTGTGGAACTTGTTCAGTTTATGTCTTAGTTGTTGAATCTTGTTATGTACATACAAATATTTACACGTTAAGTTTGCTGAAAATAAACGCAGTTGACAGTGAGAGGACGTTTCTTTTTTTGCTGAGTTTAGAAGACAATCAGTGCCTTCTGGACATAGCCTACTGTTCCATATGGACATGCAGATACAGCTCCACTCTTTCCAGTTACATACCGGAGGCAAAAGAGGGACCGCCGCGTCGGCCACGGCCTCCTCCTCCCCTGCTGAACGGCTTCCCTCCTCTCTGGGAGCCCATGCCCATCAGGCCCATGCCACCGTTGTCCACGATGAAGATATTGTTGTCAGGCCGTCCAGTCCCCGGGGCCCTGGGGCCTCCTCCCCCAATCTGCCTCAGCTGCTCATCTATCTGCAGCCGCTCCATGCGCAGCTGGTCCACTTCCTACAGGGAGAGACAGTGTGTCTGTATCATGTCTGTATTCAATAGCACCTTACTTATTTAAAAGTAACCCATATATCTAATAGGGAAAGTTTGGCAGAACCTATCATTCTGATAAAGTCAACAGAACAGTAAACGGTCAATAGTAAACAAACTCCTGATTTCAGTCTTTCGATCAAAGCGTCTGCTAAGTGGCAATTATCTTAACATCCATAAAAGGAACAGAATCATGTTGCAGATTTTAGCAGAGCAATAGGGGCAAGCTTCTAACCTTCAAATAGTTGAGATGATAGTCCAACAGTACTTTAGCATTGGAAATGCTTTCCTTTGTACCCACAAAGACAAACGGCACCATGCCCTGTAAGAGAAACAAACAGACATGATCTAATGAGGACAGATTGAATCCAAAGTCATCAGTAGAAACCAATTCAAGTCAATACAGAGTTACTTTAATTCTAGCCACTTACATTTACATTACATTTTAGTCATTTAGCAGACGCTCTTATCCAGAGCGACTTACAGTTAGTGATTTTTTTTTTTTTTATACTGGCCCCCCGTGGGAATCGAACCCACAACCCTGGCGTTGCAAACGCCATGCTCTATCAACTGAGCTACATCCCTGCCAGCCATTCCCTCCCCTACCCTGGACGACGCTGGGCCAATTGTGCGCCGCCCATGAGTCTCCCGGTCGTGGCCGGCTGCGACAGAGCCTGGATTCGAACCAGGATCTCTAGTGGCACAGTTAGCACTGCGATGCAGTGCCTTAGACCACTAACTTACCTCATCCACTGGAGGTGGCTTCTTGTCGTTCTCAGCCTCGATCCGAACTCGAACAACACCAGATTTATCCACTACTTCCTGGATCAACTTCCCATTTTTCCCAATTACTTTCCCTAGCAAAGGAGATGTGGTATTAGATTATGAATGATGATAAAATGGAGACTGAGTTTTGATGAATTTTCAAACAGAACACAATTTTATCTTCTACTTTACCCACTAAATTCCTTGGTACTTTGATGACATCTTCAGAAAATTCCAAGAAACTCCTAGCCTTGCGGACTGCCTCTTGGTCCTGCAATTGAATTGCAATTGAAAAGACCCAGAGGAGATAAAATACAACTACATTGCCTGTCAAATATTTGGACACCTACTCATTCAAGTGTTTATCTTTATTTTTACTATTTTCTACATTGTAGAATAATAGTGAAGACATCAAACGTATGAAATAACACATATGGAATAATGTATTAACCAAAGAAAGTGTTAAACAAATCAAAGTAGCCACCTTTTGCCTTGATGAATGCTTTGCTCACTCTTGGCATTCTCTCAACCAGCTTCATGAGGAATGCTTTTGCAATAGTCTTGAAGGTTTTCCCACATATGCTGAGCACTTATTGGCAACTTTTCCTTCACTCTGCGGTCCAACTCATCCCAAACTATCTCAATTTGGTTGAGGTTGGGTGATTGTGGAGGCCAGGTCATCTGATGCAGCACTCCATCACTCTCCTTGGTCAAATAGCCCTTACACAGCCTGGAGGTTTGTTTAGGGTCATTGTCCTGTTGAAAAACAAATGATAGTCCCACTAAGCGCAAACTGTGGAAGCCATGCTGGTTAAGTGTGCCTTGAATTCTAAATAAATCACAGACAGTATCACCAGCAAAGCACCCCTACACCACCTCCTCCATGCTTCACGGTTGGAACCACACATGCAGAGATCAATGTTCACCTACTCTGCGTCTCTTTCAAAGACACGGCGGTTGGAACCAAAATTCTGAAATTTGGACTCATCAGACCAAAGGACAGATTTCCACCGGTCTAAATGTCCATTGCTCTGGTCTTTTTGGTGTCCTTTAGTAGTGGTTTCTTTGCAGCAATTCGACCATGAAAGCCTGATTCACGCAGTCTCCTCTGAACAGTTGATGTTGAGATGTGTCTGTTACTTGATCTCTGTGAAACATTTATTTAGGCTGCAATTTCTAAGGCTGGTAACTAATTAACTTATCCTCTGCAGCAGAGGTGACTATGGGTCTTCCTTTCCTGTGGCGGTCCTCATGAGAGCAAGTTATCATAGCGCTTGATGGTTTCTGCGACTGCACTTGAAGAAACTTGAAATGTTCTGCATTGACTGACCTTCATGTCTTAAAGTAATGATGGACTGTTGTTTCTCTTTGCTTATTTGAGCTGTTCTTGTCATAATATGGACTTAGCTCTGTTTGGTAAAAGACCCATCTTCTATATACCACCCCTACCTTGTCACAACACAACTGATTGGCTGAAACGCATTAAGAAGGAAAGAAATTCCACTTTTAACAAGGCACACCTGTTCATTGAAATGCATTCCAGGTGACTACCTCATGAAGCTGGTTGAGAGAATGCCAAGAGTGTGCAAAGCTGTCATCAAGGCAAAGGGTGGCAACTTTGAAGAATCTCAAATATATTTTGATTTGTTTAACACTTTTTTGGTTACTACATGATTCCATATGTATTATTTCATAGTTTTGATGTCTTCACTATTATTCTACAATGTAGTAAATAGTAAAAATAAAGAAAAACCCTGGAATGAGTAGGTGTGTCCAAACTTTTGACTGGTACTGTATGTATAACACTAGTATGACCAAGTAAATATAGCTTGTGAGTAGAGGTTTGTGAGCTTCCATATTTGTGCTACTTGTGTGGTGAGCTCCTTACCTCGCCATAGATGTGGAAGGTGCAGGTCTCTTCATCCAGGTCTATGGTGGTGACCCCAGGTACTTTCCTGGCCTGCTGGATGTTGGCACCATGGGTCCCGATGGCCAGCCCCATCAGGTCATCTCGGACCACAAACTGCTCATGGAACCTTGATGCAAGTTGCCGAGAGCTCTGCACACAAACCATAACCCCACGCATAGCTTAACCGAAGTTCACCTCATGCAGAGAGACAGCCTATAGAGGTTAACAACGCTAACATGGCTTTGTCTTAATTTGAGACAATAAGCAGGTTTCCATCCAATCTTTTTGTGCGAGTAAAGTATATGTTGGATAAAAAACATAATGACAGGCCTGATGGAACCAGAAAATGTTTCGGTAAACTTTCCAAATGTCGACAAAACAATATACGCTAGACAAGGTGGGATCTTTTTGTGTCGGTTAAATGAATGATGCGAGAAATGTCGGTGGAAATGCTTTTATGTGTAAATATTGATATAATAACCATCATATCGAAGTAAACTTGGGGTCAAGTGATGAAATGTGTGGTCCTCCCACTATGACTCATTGGGAAAGCATGAAGTTTATTAGGCTACAGATGAAATAAATGACGACGAACTTTACATGGTGGTGAAAGTGCAAGGTGATGAGCTTGATGCTCCTTCCAATAAATATTGAGGGTCTTATTGGCTGCCGTTTGATAAATAAAAACCATCTTTATCCTTTCTCCATAATAATCTCATCATGTAGGCCAATACCTGAGTGGGCACACTCGCTATATAACGCAACATTTTTGTGAGAAAACCATCAGTAGAGTTGAAAATGCGATGGAAACCCACTGACCTTGTCTTTTTTAGTCAGTACATGGGAATTTAACCGCAAAAGGTATTTTTATGTACAGTATGTCATCACGCACAGCCTTTTATCTGCAACAAATCCATTTGATAGAAAATTCTCTGGTGGGAAAATGTGCATATTATTTTTATGCAGATTTTAGAATATTCGCAAGAAAATATTTCGCCAATTGGATGGAAACCTAGCTAATGTGTTTGACAATGTGTGATTTGCGAGTGTGTGAGTGTGTTTAAACTTTACTTACCTCCAGTTGGCGGCTAGCCTCCTCGTTCCTCTGCATTAGGGACAGCTTGGTGCGCAGGCTCCGGAAATGCATGTCGCTCAGCATCTGCGCCCTTTTGGTTGTAACCTCGTTCACAGACTAAAATCAGAGAAATTATACGGGAAATGTATTAAACAATACCTAACAGGGATCGAGTTCTGAAACTTTGAGAAGCCAGAAAAAGAATCGAACATACCAGAATAACAAGCTGTCTTTTGTCTGAGTCATAAGTGACATTGAATGCTCCCACTGCCTTCTTAAAATCTTTATGAGAGTCTTTCGAACACCTAAGAACAGAAAACCGTTTTGCCCCCATAGCAATAGTCACACATAAGCCTCAAAACCAAGTCACATATGGCAGCAATGAAAACATATAACTCTAGTACTTTACTTGAAAAAGCCTTGAAGAATAGGCCTACTTACATTTGCCGCAAGTCCTCCGGGACGTCTAGGTGAATTTTCAGGAAGGAGTTTTTTGTAGCTGGCTTGTTTGGGTTGACAGGCCGTAACCTCTCTAATGTGACTATTTCATTGAGCGTGGCATCACAAGCTGCATACTCTATGACATAAAACTGAGAAGAAGAGACTATCATGGGGATCATCATGACAATATTACAATAGCTACATAATAATAATAAATGAATGCAAACTCTCGCTTGAACCGCTGCATTGGACTTACCTCTCCCTTCACCATCCGGACCTTTGCCAGCCACCACCCACATGGTTCTTTATCATTAGCCCTAGAATAAACCTGTGGATAGAACAGTGGATAATATTTGATTAAGTACATCTTGTTGAGTTCTTCTCACTGATATCCATTACAATTGTTTGAGATACACATTCAACAAAACCCTGTGAATAACCAAACAGAAAGAACACAAAACAGCAGTTCCCTTCTGCTTTCAAGAAACTATCGAGCTGCCATTGTATAACCTAGCCTACTCACAATCAGCAAAGTATTAGGATTAATTGACATTGACTAGTGGGAGGGAAGTCCTTATCCATTACTTACAGCACATACCTCAACTTCATCACTCTCGTTTATCTCTTTCTGAAAACCTGTTGTTGGAGGAAATCTAACATCATGGAAGGGAATTTGACGCTCTGGCTGCCAACTGAAAGAATAGAAATAAACAAATGAAACCAGGGCACTTCACAAGTGGAAATGAATCAACAACTTAACAAGTGTCAATGAAAGAGATACCAATTGTTATTTGCAAGTACAACTAGTTATAGTTGACATGTAGTCCATGGTGGTTAACTATGGATCTCTCATATTTATCTCATATATATTACACAATGCCTGGGTCTGATTCAAAGTAGCTTACTGTGTTGCTATTTAGCTAACTACTGTAACTACAAACTAGCTGGACAGGCTACATTACATTTGAGAGCAGTATAAAGGCCTCTTATGTTGCCGGAAACCAAACACTCACTTGTTTTCAAAGGACACAGTGACAGCACTTTCATGAACATCCTTCAAATATCCCTAAAACGAGAAAAGGGTTGAGAAAATACAAGACATGAAGCAAAGGCAGACCGTCATTGAGCCAACAAGAGGTCAAAGCCAAAAATATTTGAATCTCATTGACTGCTAGATAGCTAGCAAGCAAGGCTTATTAACGTTAAAATATTATTTAGCCAACAGCTGAAACTAACGTTACTTGACGAAATAAAAAATGCCATCAACGACAATAAACTCAAATTACTGATGACCTTATTGAAACAACTTTAGATATGTTGTTAGCTAGCATTGTCCGACTGTGATAGAATAAGGCTGTACTGTCTGTTTTGTCTGGGCCTGACGCGTTACCCCCTAGCTAGCTAACTGGTAGCAAGATAGCTCACTGACTGACTCAATGCAAAAAAATTAATGGACACCGCTTTGCAACAAAAACGCATTCAACAAACTAGAACTAGTAGCTAGCTAGCTAACGTTACCAACCCACCTTGTAAAAAGCCCCACTTGTCCCCCTGACTTCAACCGCTAGCTCGTCCATGACACCTATGGTAAGCTAATGTAATGCTAGCTGGCTAACGTTAGCTACAACACTCTGCGTGCGTGCAAAACTCCGGTCTTGAATCTCCCGGTAACGTCGTTACCCTTTTGCACTCTTTAATATTTCGATTTGCAAAGTTTCAATTTTAGATTTATAAAGAAACGAAAGCGAAATATTTAAACGATTACACAGTTCGCAACTGCTCTTGCACGCATTGATGTGTAAACATAAGAGGCTCCCTTCCCATCGTCACGTGACAAGGGTCAACTCCACTCAGTTTCATTTCGTCGGTTTCTTATCAGGAATGAGTGGTTCAACATAGTTAAAAAATATATAAACTCAGCAAAAAAGAAACGTCCTCAACCTGTCAACTGCGTTTATTTTCAGCAAACTTTATATGTGTAAATATTTGTATGAACATAACAAGATTCAACAACTGAGACATAAACTGAACAATTTCCACAGACATGTGACTAACATAAATTGAATAATGTGTCCCTGAACAAAGGGGGGGTCAAAATCAAAAGTAACAGTCAGTATATGGTTTGGCCACCAGCTGCATTAAGTACTGCAGTGCATCTCCTCCTCATGGACTGCATGAGATTTGCCAGTTCTTGCTGTGAGATGTTACCCCATTCTTCCACCAAGGCACCTGCAAGTTCCCTGACATTTCTGGGGGGAACGCTAGCCCTCACCCTCCGATCCAACAGGTCCCAGACGTGCTCAATGGGATTGAGATCCGGGCTCTTCGCTGGCCATGGCAGAACACTGACATTCCTGTCTTGCAGGAAATCACGCACAGAACGAGCAGTATGGCTGGTGGCATTGTCATGCTGGAGGGTCATATCAGGATGAGCCTGCAGGAAGAGTACCACATGAGGGAGGAGGATGTCTTCCCTGTAACACACAGTGTTGAGATTGCCTGCAATGACAACAAGCTCAGTCCGATGATGCTGTGACACACCGCCCCAGACCATGACGGACCCTCCATCCATCTCCAAATCGGTCCCGCTCCAGAGTACAGGCCTCGGTGTAACGCTCACTCCTTCGACGATAAACGCGAATCCGACCATCACCCCTGGTGAGACAAAACCGCGACTCGTCAATGAAGAGCACTTTTTGCCTGTCCTCTCTAGTCCAGCGACGGTGGGTTTGTCCCCATAGGCAACGTTGTTGCCGGTGATGTCTGGTGAGGACCTGCCTTACAACAGGCCTACAAGCCCTCAGTCCAGCTCTCTCAGCCTATTGCGGACAGTCTGAGCACTGATAGAGGGATTGTGCGTTCCTGGTGTAACTCGGGCAGTTGTTGTTGCCATCCTGTACCTGTCCCGCAGGTGTGATGTTCGGATGTACCGATCCTGTGCAGGTGTTGTTACACGTGGTCTGCCACTGCGAGGACAATCAGCTGTCCGTCCTGTCTCCCTGTAGCGCTGTCTTAGGCGTCTCACAGTACGGACATTGCAATTTATTGCCCTGGCCACATCTGCAGTCCTTATGCCTCCTTGCAGCATGCCTAAGGAATGTTCACGCAGATGAGCAGGGACCCTGGGCATCTTTCTTTTGGTGTTTTTGGAGTCAGTAGAAAGGCCTCTTTAGTGTCCTAAGTTTTCATAACTGTGACCTTAATTGCCTACCATCTGTAAGCTGTTAGTGTCATAACGACCGTTCCACAGGTGCATGTTCATTAATTGTTTATTTATTCATTCAAGGTTATTTATTTTTTTTAAACTATTTTCTACATACATAATAGTGAAGACACCAAAACTATGAAATAACACATATGGAATCATGTAGTAACCAAAAGTGTTAAAGAAATCAAAATATATTTTATATTTGAAAATCTTCAGAGTAGCCACCCTTCGCCTTGATGGCAGCTTTGCACACTCTTGGCATTCTCTCAACCAGCTTCATGAGCTAGTCACCTGGAATGAATTTCAATGAACAGGTGTGTATTGGTTTCGAAATTGCATTGGTATTCACTGCAATGTTGTAGTTCCTGCCTCGCCTCTCCCGCCAAATTCAAATCCAACTGAGAGATTCAATTTCATATGGCTAGCAGCTAGCAAGCCTTCTTTTGTTATTTAAAAAAGTTCAAGGAGGCTTTCCTCAGTAGTTCGCAGGCTTTATTTGATGGATTGCCTAACAAAGATACAATCATCTCAAAGATAAAAGACATGCCTGTGTCTGCCAGAACTGTTGAATGGCGCGTTACCGAGATGGTTGAAAATGTAAAGGAGCAGCAAACTGTAGCGTTAAAAGATGCACCTGTGTTTAATATGGCTCTTGATGAGAGTTTGGATGTGAATGACATTCCACGTCTGGCAGTTGTTGCAAGATACTGTGACTCAGAGCAGGTACGTGAGGAGCTGCTTTGTCTAAAACCCATGCATGATACTACTAAAGGGGAAGATGAATCAAAAGCCTTCACAGATCATTTTGAGGAGAGAGGTGTCGATATTAAAAACATATTTGCTATTACAACTGACGGTGCCCCCTTTATGGTGGGGAAACATAAATGATTTGCAAAGCAGACTGAATATAAGACTGGCTACCCTGTGGTTAAATGTCTGTGTTCCAAGATCAAGCCTGTGGTGCTAATGGACAGCGCCTCTGTTTAGCGAGCTATGGAATTCTTCTGTTTATGGCCAATTACATATTCAATAGACACAATTAGTTGTAATGCACATATGAAAATCAGAACTGGCACGCAGATCGTTAGAAATGGTAGGATAAATTGTAAATTGGCACTCCACACAAAAAAGGTTGCCGACCCCTGATGTAGGCTGTCTCATTGTCGTTGTTAATCAGGCCTACCACTGTTGTGTCGTCTGCAAACTTGATGATTGAGTTGGAGACGTGCGTGGCCATGCAGTCATGGGTGAACAGGGAGTACAGGAGGGGGCTGAGCACGCACCCTTGTGGGGCCCCTGTGTTGAAGATCAGCATAGTGGAGGTGTTGCCTACCTTCACCACCTGGGGGCGGCCCGTCAGGAAGTCCAGGACCCAGTTGAACAGGGCGGGGTTCAGACCCAAGGCCCCAAGCTTAATGATGAGCTTGGAGGGTACTATGGTGTTGAAGGCTGAGCTTTAGTCAATGAAAAGCATTCTTACATAGGTATTCCTCTTGTCCAGATGGGATAGGGCAGTGTACAGTGTGATGGCGATTGCGTCATCCGTGCATCTGTTGGGGTGGTATGCAAATTGCAGTCGGTCTAGGGCAGGGTTCTTCAATTCCGGTCCTGGAGGGCCGAAACACTTCTGTTTTTTATTTCTACCTGGTAGTTAATTGCACTCACCTGGTGTCCCAGGTCTGAATTAGCCCCTGATTAGAAGGAAAGGATGAAAAACAGAGGTGTTTCGGCCCTCCAGGACCGGAATTGAAGAACCCGGGTCTAGGGTGTTGGGTAAGGTGGAGGCAATATGATCTTTAACTAGCCTCTCAAAGCATTTAATGATGACAGAAGTGAGTGCTATGGGGCGATTTAATTCAGTTACCTTCGCTTTCAATGGTGGTTATCTTGAAGCAAGTGGGAACAAGAGACTGGGATAGGGAGAGAATGAATATGTCCGTAAACACTCCAGCCAGCTGGTCTGCACATTCTCTGAGGACTTGGCTAAGGATGCCTTCTGGGCCAGCAGCCTTGCGAGGGCTAACACACTTAAATGTCTTACTCACGTTGGCCATGGAAAACGAGCGCTTACGGTCCATGGGAGCATCACTGTGTTTTCCTCGAAGCGGGCGAAGAAGGTGTTTAGCTTCCAGTTTGTGCAGAAATGTTTTGGTTGTGCAAACCCACAGTTTCATCTGCTGTCCGGGTGGCTGGTCTCAGATGATCCCGCAGGTGAAGAAGCCGGATGTGGAGGGGCTGGCTTGGGTACACGTGGTCTGTGGTTGTGAGGCCGGTTGGACGTACTGCCAAATTCTCTAAAACAACATTGGAGGTGGCTTATGGTAGAGAAATGAACATTCAATTATCTGGCAACAGCTCTGGTGGACATTCCTGAAGTCAGCATGCCAACTGCACGCTCCCTCAAATCTTGTGGCATTGTGTTGTGTAACAAAACTGCACATTTTAGAGTGGCCTTTTATTGCTCCCAGAACAAGGTGCACCTGTGTAATGATCATGCTATTTAATCAGCTTCTTGATATTCCACACCTGTCAGGTGGATGGATTATCTTGTCAAAGGAGAAATGCTCACTAACAGAGGTGTAAACAAATTTGTGCACAACTTTTGAGAGAAATAAGCTTTTTGTGCATATGGAACATTCCTGGGATCTTTTATTTAAGTTCATGAAACATGGGACCAACCCTGTTGCGTTTATGTTTTTGTTCAGTGTACATGTCATCTCTCAAAATTGATATCTATCTTACCTCTACATTGCTGTCAAATAAAGCAAGGTATATGCTATAATGAGTCAAATAAGCACTAGGCCTAATACATAGGCAACAAACGTGGCCTGCAGACACGCTGGAGAGGTGGAAATTACACTTCCATGCTTGGATGTGGTTGCATCTGTTCAAGCTACAAATGATATCCCCTTCCCCAAGTGTATTAATATACAAAAAGATGTAAGCAAATTCATCTCCTAACATGTATTTATTTTGTCAGTAACATTATAGCAACAATAGCGTCATTGTCAACCCAAAATTCATGGCAATCACTGGTTTAGGTATTGTACATCAAAATATCTTTATCATGCATTCCTGCTTGGACATGTTCGATGAAACAACGTACTGTATTTCTTGAATCATACCTTCTCAATAGCACGGTGAATGACTTTATAACATTATTCAAAAAAAATTATATTGCGTGACGCCATGACAAAATGTTGGTGCGACCAAATCATGGGCTGGTGCCACAAACTGAAAATGTTAGTGGCACCAGTGCCACCAGCGGAAAAAGTTAGTCTGGAGCCCTTTTGTGTTTAATATAAAGTTAGGTCCAAAATTATTGGCACTCATGATAAAGATGAGCAAAGAAGACTGTATAAAATAAATAATACAAATAATACAATACCATAAAAAAATATTAAGTATTAAGGAACCCCATTAGCCGCTGCCAAGGCAACAGCTACTCTTCCTGGGGTCCAAACAAGATTAAGGCAATTACATCACAAAAAAAAACAGTACATAATACAATACATTATTTCACCACTACTCTACCACTACACACCCCTAATACCACATTACAACAACATTACAACATTACAATCTATGTGTGTGTAGAGTGTGTGTGTTGGCTTGTGTGTGTGTGTCTCTTCGCAGTC